TTCTCAGCCCTCTTTGGTGGTGCTTTGACATCCAGTTCCCTACAGTCAGCACCTATGACAGCTATTTACTAGAAGCCTGCTAATAAGTCAGACTGTTACCAAATTTACTGGGAGCAGCAGGACTGCAATTTGTTGTGCAGTATTAAGTTACTGTTCATGCAGCATTTGTAACTGAAGGCTACTAAGGAGCATTGCTAGGAATCGATCAAGGATAATGAAATGGATATTGTCTGAATAATAATCAATTTTAATAATAGTCTTCTACAGTAGTCTTGCATTAAGGGGCTTCTATTCTCAGTTCAATTCTCTCTGAAAGCTGATGAGTTTCTGAAGTGTAGTAGCTGCCACTCTGAAACAAATGTGAGATGTATTGAAAAGCTGGGGCTTTTCCCAGCAACGTTGGAACTTTGCACAGTGTTAGACTTTTAAAAATTAAACAAGTTGGTTGGCTTTTTAAATTTCTAAAGTACTGTTTATGGACAAGAAAAATAATGCAGGAGGTGTGTATGTATGTCTGATTTTTCTCAGTCTCAATAATAGGTAATCTTTAAACATGCGAGAAGTCTCATCCTTCATGTAAGCTGGTATTTCCCTTGGACACATGTAATTGGCACAGTTTACATATGTGTGATTTCCCGATGAACTCGTTCCTATCCAAGTTAAAATACTGACTCATACTCCACTGATTTTATGAGTATTTTTTTCAAGGGTGAGAAGGTTGAAATATTCCAGTTAGGTGGAATGTTCTCTCTCCATGATTTTTTTTCTTTTAGTAAAACATGAAAATTGAAAAGTGAATTAAAGTGTCACTATCAAAACACAATGTTCAAATGGCTCAGAAGTAAAATTGGAAATCTTGTTTCTTGGAAACTTCAGGATTTTGATTCATAGTTGGGGAATTTTGTGTGTGTTGATGTTTCCTGCCAAAATAATGTCTGATCCTCAACCAACTTAATGTCTTTGTTTACCTTTTGTGAGAGTTGATTACTTTGCAGAATGGCGAATATAACATTAACAGAAGTAAGCAGATAACATTTGAGGGTTTTCTTCATTTTACCTTTTTCAATGGGTGCTCAAGCTTCATTAGCCAGGAGGCTAATTAAGTGGGTTGTGTGAGGCTTAAGGAAAAAGGTTACTGTTGCTGTGGGGGTTAGGACCCCATCAAAGACTCCAGCAAATTTCAGGAAGCTCTTCAGAGATGAGTTTGTATGAATTGTAGTATTTTTGCTGAGATCTAGGTCTAGAGAAAGGAAATAATTTTGAGATGTCTTTCCTTTGGAAGTTAGGGTATGGCTGAAGACTGATGTAGTAATCCTCCTATATAATACAGAATTGACCAAATGACCAAAGTTTTGAAGTATGCTACCTTGACTCAACTATCCACTACTTGTGTTATGCTCTGGGCAATAATGCATTTTGCTTCTGCACAGGTGGCGAATGGGAGCCTATAGGCTGGAGAAGCCCAGGACTTCTCCAAAACATGAAAAGGGGAGACGGTAGGAAGAAGGGCTGATAGTTAAAAATGGATAAGGAATCCATGAGAATGTCAGTACGCCTTTGGAAATTGTTTTCATTATTCCAACAGGGCAGCTGTGATTTAGCAGAGAGCTCACATATTTACAGTTATGATTGTGGCCGAGGCAGCAACATGTTCCCAGCGGTTCTGGAATCTGTTTCCTATTGAAGGCTATGTGAGCCAAGGCTGATGGAGTGCAGATTGAGAGCATTTAATTATTTAAATAGCTGGCTGAGTGCTATTTGTGAGCAAAAGGTGGTAGGTCTGGGTTGTTGCTTGTTTCATGACCATTTGTTAGTAATAGTTATTGAATGCTTTTATTTTTAATAAATGCCAACCTAGGTGATGGGCCCTGTGATGTGCATTATTAAATAAATAGACAAGCTTAGAAAAAGGCCATACGGTCATGACTAAAGTTTCCATTCTCTGTCAACTATTTAGGGAACAAAGCAAGAAGCTGAATTATTCATGATATGCTTAGTGCAAGGCAAATGGAACCTGCTGCTGTGTTGCTAGCAGTGCAAATAGTGACTTAAAAAATACAAATTGTTTTCTTCTATGTTATCATGCTTGTTTCTCTTTGCTAATATTTCTAGAAACTATTGAAGAAAATTAAATCCCGTGACAAAAAAGAGTTAAGTCTGCATAGTTCCTCAGAATCCTAGCACAGACCCTGTGGGGGATTTTGTTTCTAAATTATTCAGCCTGTGTGCTAAAAAGATAGATAAGGCAGTGTGTTTTGGAAGTTCATACGGGTATTCCTTTTTTTCTCATTGAAAACTTTTTAATTGATATAAGTTTTGTAAAGACTGTTTCCTACAGACAGAAATATACATATATAACTGTCTATCCATTTATATATGGGGGTTTGTTTGTATGTGAATACATAGACCTAATTTTTCATAGCAGCTGAAGTTCTGTCACTTACACTACACTTCTCAAAACTGTCATATATTCTAGTGCTCAGCACCGCTTCTCCCTGTGGTTGTGGCTGAAACCTGATTGCCGTTCTAATCCCAGGGCCAGAGGTACTTCTTGTGTTCATAGTTCCTTTGAAACTGTAGGATCTCAAAATACTGTGATGACTGTTTTATAAATGCCCAGAGGGTTATTAAGGACACAGTTCTGCACAGGAAGATGGGTCTCAACTCCTAATAAAGTTATTTGTTTAGCATTTGATGAGAAATAAATATAGGTTGGAGGGGGCTTACCTCATTCATATTGAAATAAGTGTTATATAAAATAAAAGATTAAGTTAGTCGATCACAGTGCAGAAATATTTTCAGATGAAAATAGATACCTGGGCTTCTTAGTCTGGTGTCAGAAAAAAAAAACCAAACAAGAAAAAACAATGGCTGAAAGATCAAGCATTAAATTAAAAATAAAACTATACAGCACAGATAAGGTGATGAATGGAACAAATTTCATTATGACTTAGTTACGTTTTTGGTTGTTCTTTAGCCAAACTGTTGACATAGTGTTCAGCACAAGGCAAAATGTATGTCTATGTCATAGAAAAGGCAAGGTGAGATGATTTAGTGGTTTCTTTCTAAAGTTTTTTCCAATCTCTGTGTTTCATCAGTCTTTTAAAAGATTTTATTGAAGCATACTGAGATCTGTTGAATTTGTTACATGTACAGAACAGATCTCGGAATGCAAGTTTGAAAACGAATAGTACTTTGGATGTGGAATGAGTTCCTCAGAAGGTAGCACTGTTCGTTCTTTTTCCTAATCATAGTGCAAGGACAATATGAAAACTTTTCCTACTTTCAGATAAAAACTCAGAATATGGAACCTCTGTTTTGAATTCCTCTTTGAGGAATTCAAAGGAATTTTGAATTTTGAGGAACAGGAATTTTTTTGAAATAGGATTTTCTTATTTTTTTTTAATAAGAAAGTTAACTCTGAATTCTTGACCACATTTTGAAATTACAGTTGGCATCTGTGAACTGAGAGTAGGCATATAGCCCCCATGTTTGGTGTCCGTACCTCTGAGTACCCAGAGCAGGAGACAACAGCCAGAGGTACGCAAGAGGTGATTTCTACGTGTGTTCTGCAGAGATTGTAAAAACTCTTTTAAGTGAACAATTGTGTTAATGCAGCATATGCCCAGTTTCGTTACATTATGAGTCAAGTAAACTAACAAGTAAAGTAAGAAAAATCTTAAAAGTGCATTGGAAAGGTTGCAGTCTAGTCGATCGTCCTGCTGGCAGTGTGGCCCTATTCTGCTAACCACCCCTCTGCCTTCACGTGGGTTTCTGGCAGAGGAGAAAGCAGTTCTTAAAATACACCTCAGAGGGTCAAGCCTGCACTGACGGCCTCTGCCTCTTGTCAGCTATAGTCAGATGAGATCAGATTCTGCGATTCTTCATCAATTGGCTTCTAAAAAAAGCAATGATAATTTCCATCTGAGAGAGGATGCTAGCTAAATTTTTGGAGTTACCACTTCTTTTCCTTTATTATTGGGCTATTTTAGCTGGGATGCCTGAGAGAGTTTGATATTAATATTGTCGTTTGTTTAATAAACCGAAATAGAACAGAGGATTTAGGCTCTGGCAGTTGCAGGAGCCGAGGTGGAGCCGGGTGCTGTCGCGGGGCTGCTGGAAGGCACGCGGAGCTGTTTATAGCACTGCGAGGTGGTCAGGCATTATCTGGGATTTGCAGCTCTCCGCTAGCAAACTTTTTTTTTTTAAACAGACTCTGTTAAAACAAGAATAACTTGATATTATTTTAGAAATACAAAGCTAAATAAATTAAATCCTACTTTAGTCTTACGGATTTGAAAATTGGTTTTACATGCTTTCGTCACATCCTGGCTGGATTATCTAACTTTCTTTTTACAGTTTTGCCAGCGTTGCCGCTGCAGGAATTGTGTACAGATTGTAGCGGCAGCAATGGTCAGCGGCTTCCCAAGGAAGAGCAAGGCTCGCAGAGGGTTAGGTCTCTTTCCTGTCTCTCTCATTTTCTCCTGACTCAGGATGTCTTGAAGTTAAAAAGGTCTTGCTGTTTGGGAAACAGTTAATTGGATCAGGATGAGTCATACCTAGGATTAAATGCTGGCAATAAGATTGGATGCCTTCCCCCTAGTTAACGTAATTAAGACTGACATTAAAGATCAAATTATCTTTACCAAATTAGGGCCTCAGGTAAGTGAGAAACTCTTCAAGGACGTTCCTGCCTAGTGCTGTCCCCGCCTTGCTAAGGAAGCTGTGGGGGCCCACCAGAGAAGCCCTATGGTGCTCTGGAGGGCAGGGCTGGCCCCTGAGGTCCAGACTTCAAAACTCCTGCTGCCCTGGTGCGCTCTCTCGGGGGTAGACATGCTGGCCACTTGTGTGTAGCGGGCGCTGCGTCTGCCTCTTCTCCGCATCCCAGGCACCAGGCACAGGTCGGGCACGGGGACACGGACGGGAAGAGGATTATGGTGGTGTCTTGCAAATGTGGGAAAAGTTGTCCTGGTGGCCTAGTGAGGTACAGAGAAAGGTCTTGGCTAAATGCAAAGTGTGACAGGCCTAGTCTGTACGTGCCCGCTACTGCTTTGGCTGCAGTTCAAAGCTCTGGAGCAGAACTCACAAGTTCAGTTTGCGGCAGGCTCCTCCCTGCCCGTCCCTAGCATCTTCAAAACTGGTCATTTCCCACATTATTTTGGGGAGGTGTCAAGATTTTTCTAGCAGGACTGTGGAATTCTACATACCGAATCTAAATGTCTTGCTGCTTGGCTGTTTTTCCTCGGTTACCTTTCCTGAACTGCCTCAGAGAGATCCCTGTATCCTTCCAGGGCATCCTGGCTGAGCTGGGCATGCTCCTCCTGGCAAAGCGCTTGAGACCACCAGTGCCTTCTGACTTCTGAGGGACTTCATCTGAGCCATCTTCGCTCACGTATGTTTGGTTTCTCCAGAACAACTGACTGTCTTTGAGATCTGGTCCTGTTTGCTTCATCTCAGATAAGAGCAACTGACATTTCTGCAGCACCTTTTAGCATAGGATGATAAATTTCTTTACAGACTTACTCAGAAATTATTTTGTCCTCCAAAGAATTCAAGATGTTTACATTTGAAATGCGGTTACTGAATAATCCAGTCTACCCCAAAAGAATTAACTTTAAAATTAGGTTATATATGCTGGATCTTTTGGTGCATAAAGACATTTTAACACCTTCTATTTATTGTATGTCGCAGCACTGATTGCTGACTGCATTATATTTTTAGTTCAGCAGAGATAGAAAACAGATTTATCTAAAGATGAGTCTTAAGTATTTGTTTTGTACTGTTGTGCCACTCATGAAGAGTGATTTTGGGATGAGAATGGTGATGTTCCACCAGTAGTTCAAGATATGTTAGCCCAAAGGAAAAGTTGTTACTTTTTCTAGAATGAGGGGAAAGTAATTTTACACAGAGAAGGATGGTAATAATTGTCATAAGGCTTACTATAGTTGCACACAAATAGTTTCCTAGTTTCTTATGCGAGACTATGATACAGCATGTAAATAATGCCTCATAAAACCAGTAAATAGGTAACTTTAAAGAAAAAGTGTGACCTTAATGAGAATGACAGGGCAGTTATTCCAGAAGCAGCAACAGCATATCATAGTACTGTCTGTTTGTAATCCTTTAAATAGATGACTTGATAGTAATGGAAAGTTAGCGTTCTTTTCTAGATTCATCTCTAGCTAGAAGATACATCTTTATCCCTTTTTGTATTGCAAACAACATATTAGCTTCTCTTTCAATTGCACATGCTATTAGAATTTGCCAGAAAAGCTCTTGTTTTTCTTTGCCCCCAACGATATTTCGAGTCATGGAAACATTAGAATGTATTCAAGATTTGTTCATTCTTATTGTAGCTGACAAGGAGATAATCGATCTCTGTTAGCATATTTTTGAGACAGTGTTTAAACTGCCCTGGGAATATTTGAGAATACATAGTAAAATCAAATTATTTTTACTTACAGTATTATTTGAGCACTAACTTTGAGAGAGACCATATTCTACTAGATACGGAAAATTAAAGTGAGTATTTGCTTACAGGAAATTATATGACTGTGATTGTATGTAACAGAGAAAAGCTCCATGAAGAAGTCCTTATTTGATCTTGAAGGCAATATAACAAATTTAACAAAGTTTTCAGTTGCTTTTCCCTGTTTATCAGAAGAATTTCACACGTACTAGAAATATTGTATCTTACCAGCCTTGAACATGTGGAAATGTTAAAGTACAGAGTCACAAAATGGTTATCTCTATAGTTAAAAGTTTGAATTTTCAGAGAAGACTTAATTATTTAGGGAAAATGAAGACTGGATGAAGACAAGAAAGGCTCCTTGGTGATATTTTACTTGCATTCCTTTCAGAATGCATGTTGTATGATAATGTTTTGAGTTCATCAGATTAATTACCTTTATTTGATTTGTCCTCTAAAAAAACCCAAACTAAACAAAAGACAGCCATGAATTGTTGCATGAGCATTACTATGCACTGGCAATCACAAAAGTATGAGTTCATGCTGTTTGGACCCTTCTCTAAAGAAATAATGAAATACTTTACTTTAAATTCTTTTTTGCCTGAAAATCATGTAGAATTTTTCTCACTTTCTTGTATCACCAGATTTCAGTAGAAGGGAGTAATTGACTAAATATGGATTCAACCATGGCTAGGTTTGAAATTACTATGGTTCCAGTGGTGGATAGAAAGAAGTTTAAAAAAACACAATAAAGATGAATTATGAATTAAAATTAATTATAACTATAATTTTAAGCAATATACTGAAGATCATGAAAATGGAGCTGTGGTTCTGAGAGCAGCAGAAAGCTGTGTGATGATCTGAGGCAAATTATATTCTTTTTAAATGCTCCTGAAATATTTTCCCTTGTTTTTGTCACTGAGAGGTATCCTCCCCTAATTTGCAGCTACCTTTGAAATGTTCTGAATATATAATTAAGTAGCATGAATTTAACTTAGTCCTCTTTCAAAGTAGATTTAAACATTTGTTCTTGATTCTAATTTCATGTTTCCTAGTATGCACATATTTTCCTGAATTTCCCAGAGTTCTTCTGAATTTACAGTCATATAACTGAATTCAGAGCATTTTATTTAAATTTTAATTATTTATGGTTAACACTGTGACCGTTTTAATATTTCCTTTTTGTTAGGTGAGGTATCTAGCATGTCTTGGCACACCTGAGCAATATGGGGTAGCACACTGGGATTTCTTTTTTTACTTAAACAAAACAAAACAAAAAAACCCACATTAAAAATTAGCCCTGGCTATACATAATTTTGAGATGTGTCCCAGGAAGGTCAAATTAAGTTGCTTAAAATACTGATATGCACTTGTTGTTTGAAATCTTTTAAAAGAAATACTTCTGTGCATAGAAGGACCAAAATAACTGAGACCATGAAAGTATGGATCTTTAAAATCTGGTTTGTCAGATATGTAGGCTGGAAACTCTGTGAGGTGATGAATGCTTTTATTAGCCGTATATACAGTAGCCAGTGTTCTGGAGTCTTGAACTCAAATTCCTCTGTTTTGAGCCACTAAAATGCCAATAAGCAGTAGTAACACTGCCTTTGTTTTCCTAGAATTAATGCCTGCACGTGTAGCTTATGCTACTTAAATTTTGAATGCACACTTAGCCATAATTGTATAAAATGAGAAAATTGTAAGCACAGAATTGGAGGGAGGGTGAAGCTACTTCTGCTAATGAAACCTTAATTGTTGAAACTCAAGTTAAAGGCTGAATATTCAGAATTGTATCAGAGACTGCAACCTCCCTAAAACTTGCTACTTATGCCATTAAAAAATGATTGGGCACTTCAGTTTAATTTGCTTGAAGGTGAAGAGCTTGTAAGACATATTTGAACCCAGAAATAATTCTGACAGCTAATTTTTACATGCATGGAAAAGAAGTTTTATAGTGGAAACCTTGACTTTTAGTATTGTAGTGCTAGAGTCCAGCTGTCGTAAAGGTCCTAATGATTTCTGACTTAATTATGTATCTGAACACTAAGGCTGCTACACACTCTCACTACCCTTTAGAGATTCATGTCTAAATACCAAATGCTGGTGGCACTCTTTGGCTGTGAAACCTGCTTTACTTTAACTCTCCGTCTGCACAGCTCTGCTAAGATCTAGGAGATGGATTCTCTTTTGTTAGTATTTCACGTCTAAGTTAAGCTTCCCACACACGCCTCCTAAATTGGCATAAATAATGACATAAATGATGGCATAAGTACTTTAGACCTCATTTGCTGATTGTGCAAAATACTTTGGGGCAACTGTTAGGAAAAGCCTTACTGTATTTCTAGCAATGTCCTTCTGTGTGCCCATCAGCGTGTTAGTCAAGTGGATCCCAAAATGCTCTTGCACCCCTGGGGACCCGCAATGCATTACTGAGGAGGAAGAGAGGAGCTGGACCTTTCGATCAGATATCTCCCTCTTGGATGGCAGGAGAGCTGTGCCAGGACTGGAGAGATGATGCCGCAGCCGGAGTTGCCCTCCAAAATGCTGTGTGCCTCTTCTGGGAAAGGGATGTCCAGGGCTGACCTGAGAAACAAACGAAAGCGTGGCCAAATAGGACAGAGCAGGCTCATCTCTCTCTGGTTGTGGAAGGAAAACGATGAAGGAGTTGTTAGTAGAAAGAGACTCGTTCTTATTTGCTTTTGCATTAAACCTGTTGGTTTAATAGTTAACGAGTGCAACATCAACATCAGAAGTGCTTCCGGCACGTTTTTGAAAGATTGTTACCCTTTGGCTACAGTTAATTCCATTTTAAGTATGTTTATTTTCACCTAGAAAGTTCAACTAGAGTTTGGATTGCTTCCCTGTTGAAGATAATTTGATTTCAGATTGCAGCAGTTTAGAAGTATATAGATAGAAGAAAAATTATTCC